GACAGAGTCATGGCCATATATGGCCTGGTGGTTAGGGCGCTCAACTTGCAATCTGCGGGTTCGAATCCTTGTCACTGAACATGCTTGCCCTTTCAGCCAAGGGTGAATCCCGCTATTTGTTGATAAAATTGGCGGTGGGTGGTGTAGACTAGAGGAAAAGTAACTTGTTAATCACTGTTGAATTATGGACGGCTAGTGCAGATAGTAAGGTTTGAGGCCTCAGTTTTTATAAAAAAAAAAAGAGAAATACCGGTTTAAGAAGTGAAAGACATTAGAATTTGTTTGCCTGACAGTAGTCAACAGTTTTTTTTTGTGTTTGTTTGGAATTAAGCACAAAGGGCTATCTGTTCTCTGCCTACCACGGGTATCGAAACCCGGTTTCTAGCGTTGTAAGTCCGCAGACATACCGCTGTGGCACTGGGGGCTTTTTTTTTTGTGTGTGTGTGTGTATGTGATTTTCATACCACACTTAAAACAAGTTTAAGATTATCATGAGACTAATTATTCAGTCCACAAAACAAGACACTTAAAGAATCAGCTGTCCAAGAGTGGTTAAAAGTGGAAAATTATCACCACACCAATACGAGGTACATTTCTTAAGTAAGCCTTAAAATTGGTCACAACGAGAACCATCATGTGGAATTTGAGTTTTGACTATACCTCCTGGAAAATAGAAATAGCTTTCTTCCATTCTAACAGTTGTTTTTAGTTTAGCGTCTACTTGCGATGTTTATCCCTATATAGTCATGCCAACTCACTGATATATGGACTATTATTTACTTTATCCATTCCTACTGTCCTTTATAAAATATAACACAGAATCGGAATCTGTTTTTAATTTTATATTTATTATTATTTTAAAGATACAGAGTTTATACTTATATTTAAGCCTTTCGTTATAATAGTTTCTCTTAACAATGATATTTATTAAACATGTATATGCCGCACGTTTTAGCATTGTATTGTTATCGTTTAAATCGGTACTTTCTAAACTTCCGATCGAATACGAAAACTCACTCAATGCTAATGTTGTTTTTTGTAGATCGAAAGTTATGAACTAATTTTTGAGATACTAACGCTGATTTTGGAATTTAAGGAAATTCCGAAACGTCCGTATTAAAGATATTTTTTACTATTACTGTGTTTATAATTAACCTATATAAAAGTCAGTGTGTGTTACGTCACGCTTGATTACTCGAAACAGCAGTCATAAAAGCCAAAATACATTTATCCAGATAGAATATTTCGATTAATATCTGCCTATTACGATTTTAGTGGCGGTGTGTGTTTGTGTGTGTGTGTGTGTGCAAAAGGGCCATGAAACCTTACAAGTGTAGTGAGTGTTGGTATAATAAGCCTAAAGGAAATACGTAGTGGGATCACCTAGCCTAGAGCCAAGTTCATAAAATTTTCATGAACGTAAAAATATAGATTCAGTTTTAAACTTAAATCGTTTCTGAATTAATCTATTTTCTGTTATATCGCCAAATTTTTAAATAAAAACCCATTTAATTAGTAGAGACTCTAAGTTAAGAAATCAACAACTTTTTTCCAGTTTTTGTCAATACATTTAATTTTATACTTTTTATGAATATATTTTGCGAAATAAAGCTTGACCATCAAAGAAGCAGAAAAGTGCGGTCAAAGCAGTCTAATGTGCGTAAATTTCTTTGTGAGCCAATCAAAATTAAGAACATTCATGAAATGAATTCGTGGCATATTCATTGAATTATTGGAAAAAATCAGTTAGATTAAGAACTTGTATATAGAAAAGCCAGTACGTTTTGGTAACACTACCTTCCAACAATGGCTTTTATGTCATGTTGCTCAGCAACAAAAGTATAACCTAGTATTGTTGTTAGTCTATGTACTAAAAGTATAAAGTCTAACCTATATAAAAGCCAGTATGTGTCACGTCACGCTCGATTTGTCTTTATTTCTCGAAATATGAATCATAAAAGCCAAAATGTATTTATTCAGATAGAATAATAGTGTGATTACTGTCTGCCCATTACGATTTTAGTGACGGGAGTACAAAGGGGCCGTGAAGGGGATGGGTGCCCTGAAACCTTATACGTGTAGTGAGTGTTGGTATAATAAGCCTAAAGTAAAAACGTAGTGTGAGATCACTTAGCCTAGAGCCAACTGCATAAAATTTATCATGAAAGTAAAAATATCGATTCAATTGTAAACTTAAATCGTTTCTGAATTGAGCTATTTTCTGTTATATCACGAAATTTATTATTTACAAAACATCATTAATCAACGGAGTCTCAATTAAGAAATCAACACATATTCCAGTTTTTTTGTCTATACATTTCATACTTTCAGTGCACAGATTAAGAACAATGTTAGGTTATACTCTTGTTGCTAAGCAACATGACATAAGCCGTTGTTGGAACGTAGTGTTACTATAACGCACTCACTTTTCTATATATTAGAAGCTGTTAATCTAACCGATTTTTACCAACAATTATCCTATGAATACGCCACAAATTCATTTCATGAATGTTCTTAATTTTGATTGGATCACAAAGGAATTTACCGGCGCTTGACTGTACTTTTCTGTCTCTTTGTTTGTCAAGCTTGATTTTGCAAAATTTATTTTAGTTAGCGATGAAATGTGAGGTTAGGGTATACTATGGGGGTGGGGGGTAGTACTTGCCCCATCATTTTCGACGGGCTATACGCTAGTATTTATTATAAGACTGTTTTCCACCTGACGAATCAGTTGCAAACACGTAGTTTATTATGATGTTAATAACAATGTATTTATAAAGTTAAAACTGAATCTAACTTTTACAAATATAGCGTACTTAACGTTTACTGTTGCTTTGTTTGCTAAATAGTGTTGCGTCAGCGAGGTCACGTGACTAGTGTCACGCCACGTTTCTAGAACTATCTTGTTATATATATATATATATATATATATATATATATATA